TGTGTATTCATGTTATTTGTCTGACATATTGATCACCGTCTGTCGACTGTTAAATGTATCACCACTGCATACAAAATACGTTTTTCGGATTTATAACGCAGTAAGCTCCATATCACAAACATCCATCATCTTGCACCATGGTGACGACATTATAGTTGTAGTTGTTATCGTCGATGAAAACACACTCAAATGTTTAGATCATAGTTGCTTACGCTAACACTGTTGCAGTAAATAAGGTCAACAGTCTTCTGACGTAATTGTGGATGAAATAACATAACAGTTCACCATATTTTCCCATCCGGGATTACTCATTTATAAAATTAATTTTCTCCATTTCCAGTGTGAATGAAATTTTGAAACACATTGAAGACTTTGCTGAAACATACAAATGCCTCCGAGGGTCGAAAATGAATCCGGAAGATAAATGTATTCTTTAAAGAAACATAATGATCATCGATGTGTCTGTTTGTGCGTCTGACAATATTAATTTGTGCCGGTCCATGATTTTGTTATGTATTTCACTACATTTCTATCAATAAACTTTTCTGATATGACTAGTGAATTTAAGTATTTTTTACAAACAAAGCAGCGTTCATTGAAACAATATTTTCCATCCATATGAAGAAGCTATTTTGATATACGCCTACTCGAAAGATAAACTAATCTGAAAAAACAATAACTGACTTGATGTGATGAAGCTTCATTTCATGGATTTCCTGACTTGAAAGCTTCTAGTGACTACACTTTTATGAAGGAAACGCGATTAGTAAAATAAAAGCATTTGTTATTAGAACCAATCTACCAGAGATTGTTTTACTGAACTCCTTTTTTATACAAACTCTGTTTGCGAATTTTCCGATAACTTCGTTGCTATCTTAATTACACTGCACGTTGAAGCTTCCACCATATTATTTATCATGGTCTCGCTAAGAAATATACATTTTCTTCTCTGTCTTTGTTTCCTTACGGGATTACGACTAGTGGTGTATATGTTATTGGTCTGCAGTGGTGTTTCTAGTCAACCTCGACTCGTATGACTACACGACCAGTACAACAACCACCAGATTTGAGTGGCATGCACAAAGTAGAAAAAAGTGAAAAAAACACCTATGATGAAAGTTATCCAAAAGAAAGTGGGTGCAAGCAACTTCATCAAACAACATCAAGTGAAAAAATCAAATGATCATCATATCATATAATTTCAAGACATCTGAAAAATTACAAACCGACTCCTGAAACTGTTTGTAATAGGTGTAGTACTGAACCCAACAGAATCACTTCGATCAATCTTTTGTAAACGTAAATAAAATATGACCGAAGAACGGAAACCAAATATCAGCTGAACAACAAACTTCTCAGAATGTAAAAATCACTATGTTGGACAAAATAGTCGTTCTCTTAGGCTTCGTCTGTGTGAACATCATTAGCAATTATGATATTTTTTCTCCTACATCAATACATACCTACAACTATAGAAATATATTTGGTCGGGATAATGTTGAAATACTGCATAGACAGAGTACAAGTCATATGGATAATTTGTATAAGCCTGGCACTCAAGTCAATCAACGATCAATAAAAACATCAACATTGACTTGTTTCATCAACCATTTAGAATAATAACAGGAAAACACTGGATCCAGAAACAGATCAATGAGGCGTACAGCCAATATGAAGGTGCAGACAATCACAGGTTTAAGGTGAATAACATGCAATCAATATTGAGGTCAATAATACAAGCGCCGAAACATAAAAGGAAAAATTTGAATACATCACATCTTCCGTCTGACGTTTGTGCTGATTCTACTGTTCAGAAGAACTATAAAATTTCCATAACAATAATATCCAGCTCAGAGAATGGAACGATAGCACAAACATCCACCTGAGCTAAAACATTTCTACACCTTCTGAATAGGTGATTTAATATATTACTGTGTTAACACCCATAAGGTGCTGAAGAATTGACTAGTACAAACTTCTGCATGGGTCAATTCAGTTAACTCTAAGACTTACACTAATCAACACGTGAGCATTATAGCTGGAGGTGAACAAATAACAAACAATATGAGGTTCGCGGAAAACTTTTATTCATACTGAAATTTAGAACTCGGACTTCATAGTGCAATCATAATAAGTTGGGTTTCAAGTAAGTGTGATGGTACCATGTGATTCAGATAAAAGCTATGAACAAGACAACACAATGATTACGAAGGGTAACTGTTAATAGTCATATATTTGAGAATGGAATTAATTTCTTTATGAAAGTAGGTTAAACTATTCCTCGTTATTCTAGCGCTCTTTTGAACGAAAACACACTATTTGAGATAGTTGTCTCACCTAAGTTAAAAGACATGAGTTCGTCGGTTGTGGTAATGGTAATAGCAAAGTAGAAGAAGAGTATGACTAGAAAACATGAACAAATCAGAACAGTGACGATAATCAATAATATAAACATTCAGGATGTAAGAAAAGAAGAGTTAATGCATCTTTACACGTGAATTGATTTGTAGACAAATTACTCGGGTGTGTGATGGTTTGTCAGGATTATCACATCAGCCCCAACTAGGTTTTCGAGACCTTGTTGAAGGATTCCGGCAAATGATCAAGTAATCTCAAGAACTGACGGTTCAGATCAGTCGTGAAGAATATTCATGCATTTTGACAAAGAAATGCATCCACCACTGCAATAACTGCGATTCGTATAGTCTTACGTACGTGTATTTCGCATATTTGTCTAGCAAGCGTAAGAGTTCGGGAATTGTAGTTTATAGCTGATCAATTTTAAACGAGTAAAAGATCAAGTTTTGTGACATGTTTATAAATAAAAAAAAGAAATAGATCAAAACTTGAATGTTTAAATATTCTTTATTAGCATATACTTCACAAGTTTTAAGCGACACACCCACAAACACATGCACTCGATCGAAACTTTATATCGGGTTGTGTTTGAATAAGCCATTCTGAGAATTTTCTATAACCACCGGTCAGAATGTTTTCAAGACACTGTGTTATGTCAACCACTATTTCACAAAAGTCTGTTTACACACTCATCCTTGGCTTCTTTTAGTACTAACAAATATTGGATTGCACTGATTAACAAATTTGTATCTGTTTTTAGTGATAAGCAATGAAGCAGTTGAGTTTGCTGATGGCTTCACCTATCTTTGCATTTTCATCAGCTTGCTGATTGCATGTTGTCTGACAAAATCTCGGCCAAGTTAAGGGGGGCACTGACGTTGAAAATACGTTCATTTGTTAAACCAAAGACAAGTTTACTGCTGAGCATTCTGCTCTGTCCTACCACACAGATGTGGAAAATGACTAATAAGGTGAAGGAATATTTATGGGGTACCATTTTTCGATCTTAGGTATACTCGTAGCACTCCCCGAGGATTACGGAGAGATGGAGTAAGCAGTACGGGTTCTAGGAAAACGGTAAAAGCTAAGGCTGACAGAACGACTGACCAAGAACAGAATGTTCATCAGTTGAGCTAGTCACGACATGTGTTATGCATGCCTATCCACCGACCACCTCGACAAATGATGTTGTTGATGAATAATGGGAGGTAAGCAAGAGGACGCAAAACTGAACGACGGCATCAATTCTTGAAGTCACTGTCAACTGAAGTTTACCATGTTTGTAGGTGTAGATAATCTGGTTGGGATCCACAGGACAATAGTAACCGGTTGTCAAAGAATTTTTATGAGGTAGGTTGAAATCGTTCATAATGGTACAGATGCATCTATTTTTTGTCTCCTGTATTAATGAGGTAAGGTAACTTGGATTGATGAACGTCCGTACCAAGTTCTACGTTGTTCCTGATTGACTAATGTTTCTTTAGGTAAAACGTTTACTATCATGCCTATACATAAACGTGCAATCACCTTTATAGAATTCCACATTTACAGAGGTTTAACTCGTTGAGCAAAGGATATTACAAAGACTTCCAAATAACAATTACTTGCTCAAACTAGTTCAACCTGTCCTAACGATGACAAAGCAGTAAACACTGATCGTGAAATTTATTCGGAAGGTTTTTGTTCTGCACTACCACTTATTACTGAAAAATGAATAACTTGTAGGTTGATCTAAGTATATCCGTTTTATCAAATAAAATGAAACATCTAATTTTCAAATTCTACTTTACGATTACGAAATTAGTACTTCCAGCTTCATTAACTGAATTAATGCCTGTTAGTATAAAAAAAACCAGGACCACTGAGAAGGGCACTGAACAAAACTCAGCTGTACTATTTCTAGTCAGTTGGCAGATACTTATGAATAAAATCAGCAATCACGTTAACATGTCGGAGATGATTTAGTTGCGAACGAGTCCATGAACTATTCACCATGTTCGACATTTTTGTTTAGTTCATCATAGTATTTTTCAGGCATTTCGCAGTGCCGA